TATTACAAGATCTTTGGTTGTAATACATTTTATCTGCTTACGCTACTTTTATTATCTCTAAAGATAAAAATGATGTTGCATTTGTTCTTCAATGAATTGGTCAAACTCAAAAAAATAGTAATCTTATTTGAATTTATTTTATCTATACAAAGATGAATTTTACAATGATTGTTTGTTTGATCTTAAAGAGAGTGTATTACTACTCTTCAACAACTTGGATAAGAAAAAAGAAGCTCTTACTTGAGCTTTCTTATAGACCAATAAGCAACTCATATCAAAATTTATAATTTTCACTTTATGACATTCATTTATATTAATACATAGAATTAGAATAGATATAAACATTCTTCTAAAATTTCTAATGATTTTAAGAGCTATAAGTGAATTTGCATCATATCTATGATATTAGTTTTTTTAATACCTAAATTTAATATTAGTAATATTGGCACAAATTATAATTTAGCAAAGTGATTGAAAAAATAGAATCTAAATCAATAACTAATTTTTTTTTATTTTCTTAGCATGATTAACTAATATTTGCCTATGTAGGCAATTGGTGTGTAAAGCATAATGACTTGCATACTATTTTTTCTTCTTATATTTCCATGCATAAATTTAAATAGTTTATTTTAACAAGTACTTTATATTTATTTTAAATATATAAAATATTAATAGTAAATAATTATTTTTGAAGAAATATTTTATCAAAGATATATAAGCCACAAAGAATCTAAATAAAAATGAGAATAGGTTTTAAGCAAGAATAGCAAAGCTAAGGACCTTACATTAGACCATTGACCTTTTGGAAGAGAGAAGAAAGTCTTTAGAAAGTCCATGAGAATTAAAGAAGCAAAAAGGTGGATGGATATTATGAAATAATACTTATATGATATATTTAATTGTTTCAAGTTAAGCCAGTTGATAGTGCAACACTTCTTTGAAAAATCTCATTGTATCTAATATATTTAAGTTAGTCATGGCCAACTTTCTAGGACTCTTTTTGTCTTGTTTGCCTTTAGCAACATCCCTTTTAAGCTTAAAATTCATAAATTTCAAAAGTAAAAGTGTGTTATTTCTGCCAAATAGATGGCTCACACAATCCACTAATACATTTATTTTTTATTTTATTTTATTTTTTATTTTATTCAAACTCATAATGAATAATGTATTAGTTTTCATCAAAGAATGGATACACTATTGTCTTTATCTTACAAGGTTTATACACTATTTAAGTATAAATTTGAATAGTATAATATATATTATTTTAAATATATTATTATTAATAAATATTCTCATTTAATATGAAATATACTATATACCAAGCATTCATGTCTTAGAGATACTTCACATACAGTATGATATATATTAATTATGGACATTAGTATAGCTTATAATATATATATATATATATATATATATATATATATATATTTTAAAAAATAATGGTGGTTGAAAAAGAGATAGTATTTATTTTATAAAAAAATATTATATATATATATATATATATTTGCCTAAATTTTTATTTAATTTAAAATTATATATATATATATATATATATTCAACTTATTCTATTTTAGATCAATATTAGAATTAAATATTGGGGTGTGAAACGTGCCTTAAGTGTAGAAGTATGCTTTTATCTAATTTAAGTTAAGTGTAGAAGTATGCTTTTATCTAATTTAAGTTATGTGGAGATGTAGCATTAAAAATATTTTTAACTTTTGAAGATCTAATCTTAGTCTTATATAGCTTTCTTATAATATAAATAGATCTAATATAATTTTTTTAACTTTCTTTTGTTATTTGTAATGTCTATAGTCTTTATAAAGTCATTTTTATTATTCCATATATATACATACATATGCTACTATTAAGGTCTATAGTATTATAATTTATATGTAATAGTGATTTTAAATATTGATGCTAGCATATAAAATATAAAAATCATCTATCTAAAATGTGCTCTATAAGAATGTGCTATGACAATAATTATGTAGTATTCTATCAAAGTAATTTTTTTGCTAGTAGGGCATATTGATGAATCTTTTATATGAATCACTTCACATTTCAACACGATACTATTTATAAAAAAACTTAAGTCAATCAAAGAAAAAAAAAATTAAAAATTAAAAAAAAAAAATCAATTTTAATATTTTTAATCATTTAATAGTAATAAAAACTATTATATTTATGTTATATTAATGAATTATTTTTAAAAAAATCCTTGATTTCAATAAAACCTTTGAAGAACTAAGTTTAATATTAAGTGATTATATTAAAATATTAGCATTTAATTCTTAAAATTATTTAATATTTTAAAAGAAAATCAATATATACTTGCTAATTTCTAATAAAATTCATCCATTATTCATAAAATTGAAGTATAATCATTATTCAATTCAGTACCTTTCTAGTAATATGAAAAATGTTATGTAGTTAGCTTATCAACTAAATCAATATTTTAAATCAATTTTCTACTATTATTATGCATATTCAAGTAAATATTAAGTAGAGAAAATATTAAATTATTAAAATATTAAGTTACAAAAATAAAATCTTAATAAATCTTGGAAGCAATTATTTTAGTTGGTTTAGTATTTTTAATTATTGTTGAGTATTAAAGATTAATTATTAAGACCAATGACTTTATTTTCCTTTATATTATATTTATTACTTATTAAAAATCTATAAATATTATTTAATAATTAAAAAAATCATAAAAAAGAATTTTATGTCTTTTTAATCATTTATATAAAAAAATAAGTTTTTTAATTGATTTAAAATGATTTGATTACTATAAAAATATCAAAAAGGTAGGAAAATATGGCTCTAATTTGATATTAGTATGATAAAAAAATTCTATGAATTTTTAAAAATTTATTTAGAATTTATTTAAAAACTTTTAGGAATTTTTAGAAAATTTCAAGACTTTGATAGAATTGAGTTTTAACCATCTTGGGAGCTATTATCAAGAAATGGAGCAAGATTTGAAGGCCATACCAGATCTCTAAACTAATTAAGTGTTTTTGAATACCATGGTGAAGTCAAAAATGTAAAAATATGAGTTTTACTAGTAGAAAATAGGAGGACCAGCAGCTAGTCTGATCCTTGTAGGAAGAGAGGTACACAAGTTCTACATGGATTGTAGCACCTTTAATATAGTTAGGAAGATAATAATAAGGCATGGTGGCCTCTTTTAACAATGCAATTACACTATATATGAGCCTTGGTGATTTTTGAACCCTTGATCTATAAACAAGTTATGCTTAAGCAAAAATATTTTTACTTAACTATTTATTTATTTACTTACTATTTTTAAACCTTCATAACTTATTCACATTGATTCAAATTTACATATTTCTTACATCATTGGAAAGCTAAGAAAATTATCGTTTTTAAAAATATTTTTACTTTTATTTTTATTTTTTATTAGGTAAAAACTTAATGAACAGATTGTAACCAAGTTTTGGATTGTATAATTGCTTGATTTCATTTATTTCACTTATTTTGTGTTCATTCTTCTTTTGTTCTTGTTATTTGCTTTTTTGACTTTATACCACCAATTACAAGCAACTCTTAATCAAGTCCATCTTGTAATTTGAGTTGATAGGTGGAATTCACCTTCAAACAATCTTAAAACCTAACTAGATCCAATGCCATCAAATAATTTCCAATACTTGCAAATGTTGCTTTTAATCAAATATCTTTAATTGTGATTGTTTTAAAAAGTTTTAGAGATGATAGTTAGTTAGAAAGTAGGATCTTTTTTATGTAGTGCAAAAACACCAAAATTGAAATTGTCTTTTTAAGAAAAAAAAAATGAACAAAGAAATGTTTCAATAAACTTCTAATAATGAAGTAAATTCACCCACGTTTCTAATAGACAGATCTTCACCAAAGCAGGCTTGCTAGACCTAAATTGAGAAAATTGTGACTACTCTGCATTGAAACATAGGTAATTAGATGAACATTTTCTGTAGGCTTATCTATAAATCCTAAATTTGGAAGCAGAAGTTGCAAGGTGCATGGTCTCATGCAATTAAATGAACATGCTTGAAATTTCTTCAAACTGTTGTGTTAGTTATTTCCTGAAACATGTCTCATTCTTAGCAGATTTATATATATATATATATATATATATATACATATATATGTATACACATTATTGCTGTTATTGAGTAGTCCATATGCATATTTGCATGTGTTTGCATGTTTTATTCTGCCCTGTCATCCAATCATGATAAACCAGATGACAGGGCAGAATAAAACATCCATATTGTCTGGTATCACTAAGAAATGTGAGCACCTTAGAACCAACATTTGCACAAGCATCACTACAACTGAAGCTAGTTCAGAGTCTATTCCAGGGCATTTACTTGGCCACACAAGCCAATCTTTAAGGTGAAGAGTGGACTTACTAAATTTATCCTCGGAACACAAGTTATTATTAGTGGAGTAACAATGGGGCATCAAGTGCAGGAAGAAGTTTCCCTTCTATCTATAGTACAAACATGATTAATCACCATTCTATAAAAGATAAGTGCTAATCAACATTCAGTTAGCAAGTTTCTTAAATACTCATTTTTATTCAGAGAGGACTAGTATTTGCTGGAATTGAATGTCAGATTACCCAGAAGATGCTACAAGAATGTTTCCATCGAGATCTCCACAATGGCTTGTATGATGGCAAGCCTAGGCCTTACAATTTTATATTACTTTTTTGAAAAAATATATAAATAAAAATAAAATCTTAGATGATGTGTTCAATGCAGATCATATAATGTTCTATATGAAGTAAGGCTTATTCTACATGGCACGTCGTTTTTACCTGGTATATTCAGGATGGGGGAATGTTTTTATCTTATCGAAAATATGCATGAATGATATGGGAAAGATTGCAATTATGACATGTATGGATAAACATTGAATTTTCTATTATGTACATCTTTCTTGTTTCTAAGGACATATATATATATATATATATACATGTTGAGCACACGTTCCGGTAAATCACAATCTCCAACAAATTCTTTACATGTTGGCTCGTGCCGATAGCTTTGCCACATTTACATGCTCCACCTCACATCCAACTACCTTTCTACTGTCACAAATGATACAATTGCTGAGCTCCCTGAAGAGGGACGGTACTCAATACTCGCATGCCACCTTCCTACCCACCTCGTAACACATATAATGTTTCAACACTCCCCAACCTCCCTGGTCAACCAGCCCGCTCTGCAGGCGATTCCTCGCTAGAAGTTGAGTTGAAAAACTCCATGTCCGCGCTCAGTGCCTTCGACACGCTCTATCTCTATCCAAATACTTTAATCGAATGGCTTAATAATCCACCCTACTATTCTCCTCGTTCCAATCCTCTATCTCTTTCAGGTGCTCGACGTAGGCAGGTCCACATTCACTTCAATTCCGATCCAGTCCAATTTGTCTAGGGGGGAGAAAACCCATTCGTTCACATCGCTTTCCCTCTCCATGCCGAAATTTCTATTAGATACTCCTCCAAACGCACCACCTAGTCATCGATGTGATGGATCTCCCCCATCATGATACGGTTGCTCGTCACGCTGAACCCCAGCAACGATGGATCCACCACCTTCTTACCTTTCTTGTTTTTCTTTTTTCCGCTCCCTGAACTAGTCGTGCTCTCAAATTCCCCTTGCCCCATGTCGTCTTTCAACAGACGGGCCATGTCCATCGTCCCGGATTCGCTCCGATCCACCTTCTTCCCATTTGAACCAAAAAGAGCATCCGAATATTCATTGTCACTGGAAGACGCGTTGCCATCGGACGGCAGTTGTTCTTTCCGACGCACAAACTCCTTCCTGAACGCCTGGATGTGCTGCTGCGTTACTCCTGGTAGGGTTCCCAGGTACTGTGAAAGATAATCACTAGCCTCGCTGATCGAAGGCAAAGATATACAGAAATCTACTATAGAGAAATCCACGTTCGTCACATCTGCACATATAAACATTTAGTCCGCAAGAATTCAAAACAATACACCTTCCTCCAACACCAATCAACTCTCGTTCAAAAACTCTTCCAAATTCATTGCCTCTTCTCGCTCACCTTCGTCCGCACTCAACTTCTTCAACTGAGCCTCGCACCACTGTCTCAACGCCTTAACCTCGGCACTCACTTGTGGCCCTGTAACTGTCAAACCATTCACAAAACCAGGGTCAACTATTTTACACTAAGATAACAAAATGTGGACTTCGTCTTTACAACGATGCACTTTCAACCAGCTCGTCAACGAAGTCTAGCCTCTGATGACAGAACTAGTACTTTAACGCAACCCACCGCCAAAGTCGACCAAACAAACTTCTAGGCGTCACCAAATCGATCTCCTCATACGTCGCCACAAACCACACACTTTGCCAAAAGCACTAGCAACCATTCCCGTTATTATTTTAACTTCGCATGCAGTGCACCCTCACGCTACCTTTGTTACTTGCTTGCTTCTTAGCCTTCGTCGCAGGAGCTTTCACAGATACTGCAATCGCACTCAAAGATGGAAAGTCTGTCGGACTAGCTTTCACAACTGCCGCCTGACGAAACACCGGAGCCGTTAATGCAATTGCTGCAGGTTTCGAAGCCACGGCGTTCGCCTGTCCTTGCCCAGACAGAAGCGATGAGAAATCTAACCTGCACGCATCTCAAAAGTTAGACCCCGAACCTACTTAAACTCGACATTCAACTTTTCTACTGCAAAAAATATCAAGCACACATTCCACAATTTCGAAACCCTTTTCCATGGTATCAACACACACCCTCGCAAATGCTTCCAACATGCACCTTCATCATGTTTACTTACGGTTCCGATGTTGCTATCTGTTTCACTGCTCCGGTGCTCATCTTCGCGTCCCGGCCATAATCCCAGAACAGATCGTCGTCATCTTCAAACACGCCCACCTTCAACCGAGAACTCCCACCGCAACTGCCTGCTGGAACCTTCGCTTGTGACCCACTCGCCACTGCCTGACCTGGCGAATTCACTACTCCTGGACGCTGCCATGCGGGTCCTCCACTTCCGCTTCTTGTCATCAAAGTGATTGAATTGGCAGACGGGGGGGTTGTATTCTTCTGAAGCAATGATGCTCGAAGCATCTCGTTCTGACTCTCTTTCTCCTCACGAGCTCTCTTTTCCGCTTCCTGAATCTCCTTCAAGGATAAAGATTTACCCATGCTCTCTTGGCGACCCGGTGTGGCTAACCATGCTGGAAGCGGCTGCAAATTGATCGCAGGTTCGGTTCCCAGACTTAGGAAGTCCGCCAGCGACGACTCTGGAGGTTGGGTTGGCGACGACTCCTCTGAAGATTCCACTTGAACTGACCGTGGAGGAATGCTCTTGCTCGACGTCAGTGGAGATGTCATGTGCGACAGCTCGCCCGCCGTCTCATCACCAGCAGGTTTCACAAAAGTCGGGCTCTTCCCTTTAACAGCCCGCTTCTTGTTCTTCTTCGGTTCCTTCGACTCGATTAAGTCACTGTCATCAAAACCGGCAGTGCTCTGCATCAAAATTTGACCAGATTGACTCATCGACGCCTCCTTCAAGCTGCTGGCCTCCAGCTCGCAACCCTGCCTGCTAATTTGACTTGCCGCTTGTTCGTCACCTACAGCAAACAACAAGCTGCCTTTATCGGAGTTAGCAGACCCTGTTACCCATGATGGAGGGTCTACTGCTCGGCTCATCAAAATCTTCTGGGCAGACGTTGCAGCATTTGTTTGCGTATGCCCAGACTTCTGAGCGGCCTCCAAAGCAGCGGCAGCCCTTTGGGCCTCTTCCTCTTGAATCTCTCGCAAAGACTTCGGTTGAGGTACCGACGGAGCGGCCCATGGCCCCAATCCAGTACCTGCATTAGGTACAGGCTGTCCCACCGACTCCACGGCTGCCTGCTCCCCGGCTTTCCTATTCGCGGTTCCCTCCTCCTGAACCTCCGTAAGAGATTTCACTTTACGACCCGTGGCAGCTTTCCATTCGGGTTGAGCCAACGCCACGGCTGACCCTGCCTGCTCTTTTACTTCCATCGATTGCGCATTCGCCGATAACTCATTCGAATGCAGACCCGACAAACTCCAATTCTCCCGCGGATATGATGCCTCCGTTGGAGACCTGACAACAGATGATCGGGGAGTCTCTGCTCCACTCAGCGTGGCAGCAAGTGGGACATGGTCTGTCATAAACGTTCCGCTGCGAACAGCATCCTGATATTGTTGTTCTGCGCTACCATAATCATGACTCTCTTGGCCCCACAGCCCCGTAGACGGATGTCGCATACTTCTTTCGTGCACCAAATCCTGCCTCTGTGAACTCTCATTATTGACGATAGGGGGCCATCTCAGCCCAGGCAAGTGGGCGCTGTTCCCAGGAATATCAACCTGACCACCCATTCTCCTATCCCCACTCTTCGGCTGACCCTCCAACCTGGCATTGGAACCTAATCCCAGCACTCGAGCTGCAGCCGCTGCCTCCACTTGCTGCTGCCTCTCTTGAACCTGGCGTAGGTCAAAAGCATCCCGCCGGAATCGTTCCATATCCGAATCCAGAAGACCAGACAAATTGTTCTGAAGATCCGCTCGAGTACGCTGTTGCTGTTCCTGCATTTGAGCTACCATTTTACCTTCCATCGCACCCATGCTGGGTATGCCAGAAAAATTGCGCTCTCTGCGTAACAAATTCGGATCAAACATGTTCATGGGCACCCGAGGTTCCATCAACTCTGGATCCAGAAGTGATGCCTGCTCAAATCCAAATAAGTCCTGGGGTTCCTGCGGCATTGGCCCTGGATAATTCAGCCTTTGGTGATGTTGCTGCTGCTGCTGCTGATGATGATGATGATGATGATGTTGATTCTGGAAAGCCTCGAATGGTCGCATAGGAGCGGGCGACTGTGTACGCCTTACGAACTGCCCAAACTCGTCCACTTCCCACACACCTGAAACTCTCATGTCCTCTAACGTTTGCTGCGGTTGAGGGACCGGCAATCCAAACTGCATCAACTGCTCATATACAACTGTCAATGCATGGATATACACTGGAGCGGCTACAACACAACCTACCGCCCTGGTTCTCGTACCCATCGACTACACATTCGACATCAGTGCCACCTCGATAATATCTCTGAAGCACACATCTATGGTCACTCACATCGCCAATACACATGACTGGAAGTGCACCACAAATATCATTGAACAACACAACCATACCTGCTGCTGCTCCTCCTGCTGTTTCTGACGTATCAGTTGTTCAAACGATGGACTGCTCGTATGGTTTTGTCGGGCTAGCATAAGCTGCTCAAACTCCCTGTTCGACAAGTGCTGACTCGAGGTATCAAATAATCGTGGATCTTGCGGCTGTCTACCAAGCAAAAGCTGGTCTACAAGTCCTGAGCCCTGACGATGAAGATGATTCAAGTGTGCAGGTGGGGGTATGGACTGGCTCCGTAGCAGCTGTTCGATCAGTACCTGCAAGTTCGTAAAAACATTACTATGATATTGAACGTGCAGTAAAACATCTTGTAATACCCCGTATCCGTCCAGTTCACTCATTCTAAGTTGACCAACAAATACCTCAAGTGCACTACAGGTTATATCAAAGGTACGCTAAAAGGAGCGGCTCAAGTTTCCATCCGATCCAAATCGTGCACTTGTCATTCATTATTCCAGCCATACCAGGAGCCAAGTTTTTCAGCAGCGTCGTCTGCATTGTAGATATAACATACACCCACCATAGATGAATACCAGCATGCACACACATACAGCATCGTCAACTGCTATCCTAATCACTACCTGGAATCCACCACAACTTGGTACCTGTGTTGGTAGTTGCTGTTGCTGCATGCGTAAAAGTTGCTCCAGCATGGGACCCGACGGTGGTATCGGTAGCGGTGCCTGATGTTGCTGAGCAGGCATCTGAGAATGTAATGGGTTCAATCCTTGGTGATCGCGAGGAGGGAGGCCAGTAGACCACATCATGTGCTCCAGGTTGATGCGTGAAGACGGAGGCAGAGGAGGTGCGCCGGACAGATGCCTCTGTAAGGCTGAACCTGACGAACCCATTCTCTGCAAGTGCTGGATCTCTAAATGCTCCAGCTGCTGGGCCAGTTGTGCAGAATCCATACCGCTTCCAGGAGAAGAAAGTCCCACGTGAGGATGTGGTACGTCCAGTGACAAGTTTCGCAACAGAGTGTCTGCCCACAGCTGATCCCCGGGCACAAGATGGCCATGGCCACTCTGCAACATCGGTGACAGATCCGGCTGCATCGGGGTTGACCAGGGTGCATTAGGTGCAGAAAACAAAGGTTGACCTGCCAACATAAACCACAGTCAAAAAACAGCCTAAATCCGTCCACTACACCAAAGATTGACATGAGAACACACTAGAGCCATGCCCTGCAAGACTCAACATCCTAAGCTTCACAAGTCTCCAACTGCGCACCAACTTCCGACACTGTCACCTTTTCAAACTCCGGCAATCGACAAATGAATCCCAAACAAACAATTGTCAGGCTCTTCATCTTCGAAGCTTATGTGCAATCTAAGCTACCAATATTAAGCACTGCTTCACTAAGAGCAACCAATAGTCCAACGTGACACTCGCACTAACTGACTCAGGATAACAAAAATTCTCTAATGGGCAACAAATTAACGAGCTCGTGCTTGAAAATATGCCATCCAGTTCACACCCAATACCTAAGGCTGGACTGGACCCCTCGTTTTGAGGAAAAAGGTTAGGAAAACCCATATTGCCTGGCTCCGATGTCTCCGTGTCCACCCGAGGGAACATTGACATCCGCTTCCGCATGGAATACAATTGGTCGCTCGCCTCCTCAGCTTTAGCCCCCAGCTCCTTGTCGCCTTTCTCAAAAAACCTGTCTACTGGCATTCCAGGCCCCAAAACAACTAATTTCAGCCGCATGATAACAACCACAAACCGCCTCCACAATTTGAGCCGCCCACAAACACTGTGCTACTTCCTTGCACTCAAAAATATCTTCTCTCCCGTAAGTACACTCGGCAGCCTACGATCAAGGCATCCCAGCACTGACTACTAAAAACAACCAACACCCCAAACCTTGATCATTTAGCGCCACCATCTCAAACCATCAGCACTTACCAGGTTTGTAACTTGATATTTTCCCATTCAACCCAAGATGGAACTCGTTGCCGAACATATTCTGTGAGTTATCCGCCATATTTAGTCTTATATCCAATGACGAATCAAAAGTGCCTCTGCGTTCAATCAAGTTCTCGCCCCCAGAAGACTCCTTACGTTGATAGCTGAGGCTCGACGAATAACCTTCGTCTTCTACAAGAATCGACCCCCCACCATCTTCCAACCGTTTCAATGCGCTAGTGAAGCCCACTGGCACTTTGACTGCTGGCTTCAAGTGAGGCATTATATTTTCCAGTGCAGTGAATGGTGTCCCTTCTGGAGCATCCATCAAGCGCACAGGCAAGTCTAACCCGAAAAACCCAGCTTCAAACCATCCAATGATGTCTACCCCCAAAAAAGGCCCTTGTACTTCTCCTTGCGGATCTGTGTAAAGTAGGCAGAGTTCTTCGGGGGCTACTTGATGGACGGACGTTTCCTGGTGGGAAACCACTACTGTGGAGTTGGTCAAGGAGGTCTCCTTGGATACCTCAACTTGGTCGACAGACCCTAGCTCCTCTAATCTTCCAGGTATAGGGATAGGAGACGTCGGGTCCTTCAACCCCGAGTAACCTTCTTGTTCACCTCTTTCCGCTACATTCTCCATCACACATACATCTCTCTGAACCGATATGCCACCCTCCAACTTCGAATCATCCTGCAATTGTCAAAGCAGCAGCTTCTTGAAACCTAGACACAAATGCAGAATAACGCCTGTACGTCTCACCAGAAACACATCCTTCTCTATCGATCAGAAAAAATTCAAAAACGACTTAACATCAATATATCAATAACCTACATAACCACAAACTTAACACACGTGTTGTTTTCGCCAAGTAAAATAACTCAACAACAGTACCTGGTCGTCCCTCTCGCACATCTGTTCATGTCTTTCCAGCTTCTCGTCCTTGATCGTACCTACGACTTCGTCACCTGCTTTCGTTTTACGCCAAGCACCATCGCTACGTGCAACACTGTCACGCCTCCAACTCCCGTCCTCTCGCACGGAAGCTGCTTCCTCGCCTGTTCTTCCGCGTCTCCAAACACTCTCTTCTTTCACAGCTAGTCCTACAGAAGACAAAAATTTCGTAACAACACAACAAATCACAGCAGATTTACCTCCAAGCCGCTCAATCACTTACTCTCTCACGAATGAAATACTCAAAACCAATCACAACTATAAAGAATCCCCACTTACCTCGCGCACCATCATTATTACCACCGCTCTCTGCACGTGCACGAGACTCCCAAAACTCCTCTGCATCCGCAAAACGTGCCTCTGCCTGCTTTTCCATTGCACCCCCGTCTCCAACTCGACTGCTTCCAAACCCAGATTGGTCAAAGAAATCGTCTTCTCTATGACCATCAAAGCCGGAATCTTCTTTGCCTCCTTTTCCACCCAATACCAACATCCAATAAAGATATGTAATACGTCCCTGTCATTCTGGAGGAATACCGCAAACCGTTGACAACGACCATTCGCATAACTAAACAAACGTTCCGATACATCTGCGCACCAGCAATTCCAGGTGGAAGAGCATTCATCCGACAAACACAAAGACACTACCACGTCCAATCACTGCACTGCTGCAACTCATGCAGAGCGACACAAATTCAGGTACGTACCTACACCTCTTCCTACTCCCCGACCTCGGCCCCGACCGAGCGAATCCTGCCGCATCCCTCTGTTCAGCGACCCCTCCTTTGGCGTCGAATTGTGCACAGCACCACTGCTCACGATCTCCCCCTTCCGTATGCCCTCCAGAACAGCCTGGAAAGTAAACACAGGCTGAGCGTTTAACTCCTTGAACATTAATTCTTCAAGTTCTCGACTGAAGTACTTGTATCATTAAGAAAGAGGTTTACATAATCAAGTTGAACAACGCCCACAACCCAAGATTCTAGGTCACATCACCCGCCCAAATCCTCAGACATGAACACCACAAGCAATACACATCATCCCCACTGCCAGGGACTCTCAAGCTAATCCATAAAATCCAGAATTCCTTGGCTCCTTCCACTCCATCATCCCGTCACACAGAAAAATAAGCAAGGGGGAACGTCACAAACCTCTTCCTCCGCATCTGGTTGGAAAAAAGCCATTGGCTCCAAGGGATCGCTCTGTGTCAGCTGCGGCACTACAGTGAAGCCTTCCGGATACTTCTGAAAGAATGATATGCCGCACTTCCGATGGATGTCCAACAGCTTTACACGGGGATACCGAAAAACGTTCTCCTTCCCGGTATCCCATTTATCTATAAGAAATGGAGAACCGATCGAGCTCAATGGAGGCCCATGCAAAAGCCCGGTCTGAGGATTACCACGACCGCGACCCACGGTAAACCCCACACCGTGAGGCTCTCCCCTGCCTCTCCCCGTCATAAATCCGGGAGCCATCTTAGGAGGGGTGTTACCTACGTGAGAAGTTTCACCCCTTCCTCGTGATGCAAATGAAGGACGCCAAGCTCGGTCATGACGAGAAGTGTCTGACTCCCTCTCCCTCTCCCTCTCCCTTTCTCTCTCCCGGTCCGCATCACGCATCACATTATGAGCATTAGCCACGTAACGATGATGGTAGCCACCAGACTCAATCCCTTCTTTGCCCACCTCCTTGTCTGACCCATCCCCGCCCCGTTTACCACGAAACTCTTTCTCTTTCTCATCCGGACCCCTCCTATTGCTCCATTTGTTGTCACGACGATTATCAAAATTGGACTCTCGGTTCTGTGTATCTGCCCAACGCTCCGATGGAACTCGCCTCAGTGGCTCCACGGACTCTCTCCCGCCAGCCGCGTTCACATCTGGCCATCTTTCGTTGACGGCTCTGCGGTTCTGTGCCTGAGCAGTTTGATCCCCAACTGTATCCCTCTCTCCTTCTTTCCATCGATCCCGACGAGAAGTCATGTTAATACTGCCTTCTCTCTCTTCCTCTCTCCATCGCTCTCTCCTGCTGCTATCCGTGTCGCGTTCCATAGATATCGTGCGCCACCAATCCCTGTTCCTCTTCGGATCCTGAGAACCTCCTTCTAGATTACGCCACCGATCTTTGACCGAAGCATCATTCATTCCGTAACCTGAGGTGGGAGAACCAAGACCACGAGGCGGGTCCTGGAGACAACATCACACAAGTTCATTATACCCAAGAAATTACGGTTCATTGAGGACTGGACATTCAAGAAGTCAATATTAATCAGATAGGCGCATGCACGTGTAATCTAACATGCGCTAATTATTTACTGGACGTCAAATACAGCTTCCCCCACAATCCACAAACGTGGATCTTCATAACTCAACAAGAGCCACACAGCGAACAGACCTCTAAGATACAGTGCACCACTGTGGAATCAATCTCGGATGATTCAAATAATAAGGACAACATGCACAGAAGGTACAAAGACGGAACACCATACACTGGATGGAGCTGCAGGTTTAATCTCTCCGGATTTCGGTAGCAGCCACTGAGGTGAAAGTGGAATTGTGCTCTCTGCATTCCCAAAATCTGCAACCACACGGATAGCCTCAGTGTATGTAATCTGCATGGTTCATATCCCCCCACAAATAAAATCAAATTTTACTTATTAAAATACTAATAATAATAATGATAACATCAATTATAAATCAAAACAGAAAAGCCCAAGCAGGTGAATAAGTCTTCAAGAAAATGCATCATCTAGTACCTTTAGAATCAGACTCACTAGGACCAGAAACCAGTTTCGAAGTGCCTAAATTTTCGCTCCCTTCATCTGCATCATCAAATGTATCACCATTGGAATTAGGCCACAGCAAGCTGTACCGAAACATTAACCCCTCCTTACAAGACATGGATGTGGCCTTAGAAGACTCCACGTCGTATAAATTCAGATACGCAACAAGTCAGGCCTCTAACTATCACACTCAATAAAATCAGCACAAGCAGAGTCTCGCGAGATTTGACAGAGCGGCAGAAATACATACTCCGGGCGCAACGTAGCTGGGTGGAAACATCCTAAGGGAGCGGAAACAAGGTGAGAGAAGGGATTGAAGTAAAGCCAGAAGGCCGCATAATAGGAGTTCAGGACACTGGAAATCCTGAATACTCATTGGCAAATATCCGTAACGTAAGCGGCCAGCATTGACAAGAAGGAAAACCCTCGAAACCCTAAATGCAAATTCTGAAAAGCCCATCCCAACAAGATTACACACTGAGATCCCAAGAAAGAACTTCAACCACACAACGAAAAGACGAAAGTTCCACGGGAAGGAGGATAACGAAAACCATGCGAGAAGAATGTCAAGGGAACACAACCACACCAGCTGATGTAGGAATTGTTAGAAAGATCTGTATCCATTGCATAGATATGAATGCAGTATGGGTCAACACATAATAGCGGAGCTGTGAATAAGCAACAGCCCATAGCCGAATAAAAACAAGATTTCTTGGACATGGACAAACTAGAAAAAGAGTCCGAGCTGCCAACACTCTACGGGCAAAATCAACAATTGTCAAATTCCCACAAGAACGGCATGAGATGCATACCATCAACTAACTACCACACGTTCACATACACTGCATTAAACTGCAGCAGGTCGACCGCGGATCGCACCATTTACGAAGCTCCTAGGTCAAAGAAAGAAAATGAGAGGAAAACGAGACCACGGACCAAGCAAAAAAACACGAGTAAATTTTGAATGAGTACAACATATTCTCAATGGATCAACCCCTTGTGTCTTTATTCCGCACAGTACGGACGAACGCTGCCAGTTATCAACTTCTACGGCTAAGTTATCAATCGCAAACACGGCATCCATTCCCTGCCAATCTTGAACGCCCCACGAACCCAACCGCAAATGCGATTTATGCGATAGAGTGACAGAGGGCGCATGGAACGAAAGCCAACCAACCTCGTGTTTTCCAATGTTCCACACGCAAAGAGCTCCCCCCCGCGCTGCTATCCTCCTTGCTGACACTACCATCGCTCTTGCTGTCCGCCATAGCCGCCCTTCGTGCACGTAAATGAAACTACCGGGTCTGAGACCACCGACCTGTGCGCGTTGAGATGCAAAGGTAAACAGACGATGCGGCTCTTGATCCTGTACAGTCGAGATCTGTGAGGGACGTATGGGCGAGAGAGTAGTGTTGAGAAATGGAGCAGTGAGGAGAGGGAAGGGGAGGAGAGGAGAAGGGGGATTTCGAGGGTGATTGCAGGCAGGCAGGCAGGCAGGCAGGGTAGAGAGAGGCAGCAGCAGCAGCAGCAGGGGAGATAGATACATGACAGAATGAAATCGTGTGAAGAAAAAAAAGCTTCAGTCCCAAGACAGCCAGGGAGGTGTGCACTAGTGCTGGGCTTGGCTTGGCATGGCTTGGCAATGGAAACAGTGAGCGCCGCGATATCGTCCCTGCACTCGCTGCTTCAGCCCTAGCCAAGCCCAAGCCAGCCCAGCCCAGCCCAGCCAAGCCAGCCCAGCCCAGCCCAGCCAAGCCAGCCCAGCCCAGCCCAGCCCAGCCAAGCCCAAGCCAGCCCAGCCCAGCCCAGCCCAGCCAGCCCAGCCCAGCCCAGCCAAGCCAAGCCCAAGCCAGCCCAGGCCCAGCCAAGCCAAGCCCAAGCCAGCCAAGCCCAGCCCAGCCCAGCCAAGCCCAGCCCAGCCAAGCCCAGCCCAGCCAAGCCCAGCCATGGTGTTCGTTGCCTCGCCTCGCTTGCCACCTCGTCCACGCTGGCTGTCGACTGCTCCAGTATTCCTTCGTTCCGCTTCCAAGTGTTGCGCTGGCACATCGTGCGGGGCTCTTTGGAACCGACGGCCTGCTCGGGAACTCGATCCCCGTTCGCACTGGAACCTAACCTCCATCCATTATTCTTCATCCATAATTATTCATCTATAATTCTTCATCCATTCTTCTTTATCCGTCGAGGTCCAACGCTTGCTTACATTTGAACAGTTGTTTGTGTGGTCTTGTTGTTATTTGGATGTTGGAGGGCTTAGAGCGTTTTTTTAATTTATTAAATAATAAAATTAATATTTTTATATATTTTTAATTTATTTATGTGGGAAATTTTATAAAAATAAAAATGATGTCAATAAGCATAGTGAAATATATGATTATTAAATTAAAATTAAACAAGAATAAGAAAAAGTAAATATTTGACAATATTCAATTGTGTTCAGAATTAAAGAATTAAATTAAAAAGCTAAATATTCTAATAAAAAATTAAAAAAATAAAAAAAATTTAGTATTTAAATAAGTTTGTTTGGTAATGGTTCAACATATTTGATAGTCAATTTTATTAATGTGTTTTTTAAAAAAATAAAATTTTTGAATATAGTTAAAAATTTTGATAATATTTTTTATTTATTTTTATTGATTTTTATTAATTTTATGCTTCTTCTACATATATATTTTTAAAAAAATCTAAATTAAAAATACATATTTATAGATAATAAGTATAATTTACATATTTAAATATATAATATTCTTATGATATTTTTATTATTTCTGAAATAAAAATAAATTTATGGCAAAAAAACCAATTTTTTGGATTTGAAGTATAAATAGAAATGCATTATGCTTGCTTACAATACCAAATTTGGTATTAATTATAAGCATTAATAGAATCAAACAACATATGAAGAAGCATTGTAATAAATATATAAAATATTTTAGCAATAAAAACTACATATTGACTTCTATTTTGTATTAGATTTTACATCAAGGTTTAAAAGATAACTAATATTTTTCAAATCCAAATCTTTTTATTTTTTTTCCAGAAGAATAAGTGACTTTGGACACCTAATATTTTAATCTACATTATTTAGGAGAATTTTTCTTATTTTTATTTGAAGTTGGATGGCTTCAAATGCATTACTATAAAGTGAATTTTTTAAAAATATGATCCAATTTAAAAAAGTGTAATAATTTTTCAAATCAAAAAATTATGCAAGATGATAGAAGATATTCTTAATTTTGTGCTTGTATATAATATTATTAAGTTTAATATCACATTTGACAATTGGTTTAATGAAAGACTTTAAAAATTCTATACAATAATTTTCTATTGATTTGATAAAGAGATAACTTTTATGAAGTATTTTATTGTTGACTTCTTCTATAATGTTGTAGATAAAATTATAGGTCATTGAGTTGAAAAACTATTTTGTAATGAGATAATATATCTTGAAATTATTCATCAATTATTGGCTATAATGTATGATAGCAATTTGGTTGTTATTTGAATTGCAAGAATTCTTGATGATATATTACTATTTGAATATAAACATATAATTCTACAGAAATATCATAATATTTGATACTCTATTTTTAATGTTAAAATTACCAATAAGACCATTTTGGATATTGCCATAGATAATTTGATCAAACTTTGAGAGTTCATCAAGAATATACAAGTTAAAAAAGTATAGCTTAGGATCTTTCAAACATCACTAAGTGTCAAAAACATGAACTAGAAAAAGATGCATAAATCTAAGAAATTTGTGTTAAAAGAAAAGTGACAAAATAAAAATAAAATAGTATATATATTAAAAGAAAATTGGAATGGCTATTATTAAAAAGCAAAGAAACTAAAGACTTTTAAATCTAGACTAGAAGCAAGAAAGGAGTTGACAAGGGTAAAGAAGGCTTCACTCTTGCCTTTATATATATTATCTAACTAAGAGCTATGTGACAATGTTCTATAGCACCTCTAATATGTATTGACTTTGCAGAACACATGCTTTAGCTTACAAGGCAAGTTTTCTATATGTGTGCTATATAATTAGCTTGTTCTTCAAGCTACCAACATATGTGGCACATGGCTAACTTGTTGACTATGTTTTTAACCTAAAAAATCAATTATAGACACCTATTTAATAAAAATAGTATCTATAAAGCTTCTAGGAAGCTTCTATAGAAGATATTATGGAATTAACCTATTTTTACCTACTTTTATCTAATTATATAAGTAATTACTAGTTTATATGTATATGTTTGTGATATTGATTCTAATAGATATAATTGATAAGCAACTAGATTGATTTTTTTACAAATAGGAAAATTAAGATAAAACCTTTTTAAATAATTGATTGTTGCATGCAATGGTTTGAGTAAAAATTATTATAAAGATTTTATTTTTAAGATTATTAATAAGAAATCTTTGATTTAGTCTTTTGATCCATATTGAAGTTGATTGATAAGGACTTGTCATAGACATATTGTCCTGGACATGAATACTTACTCTAATATTACCTATATAAATAGGTAAAAGTAAATAAAAATAGATTAATTTTATAATATCTTCTAAAAAAATATCTTACAAGCTTCATAGATATGATTTTGACTTTATATGTATTTATAATTGATTTTAAGTTAGAAACTTAGCCAATAAATTAGCCAATGTCACACGTAAAAATAGCTTATGGAACAAGCTAATTATATGGCATACACATAAAAAGCTTATCTTACAAGTTAAGACATATGGTTTGTCAAATCAATACATGTTGGAGATCCTATAAAACATTGCTAAATAGCTTTTAAGTGGATAGTATATATAAAGGCAAGAGTGAAGCCTTTTCATTCTTATCAAGTCTTTTTTTGCTCTAGTTTAGAGTCAATAGTCTTTAATTTTTCTGACTTTTGTCAATCACCATTCTAATTTCTTTTTAATATATATATTTCTTTATTTCTATTTTATTATACTTCTTAGAAAATAGTCTCAGTTGATTATTTGCTTTTGTTACATTCTTATCCTTGATAGATTAATAAGAATATACTTATAATATCATAGCTATGTATTTTGTTAATTAAGAATATATTATCCCTTTTTCTTGATGAGACATAAGTATATTAGAATTTGGAAATTAGTCTCTTCTAAATTGGTATTGTCTCTAGTATTTTCTTTGTTCTCAAGTCTTTTCTTCTATTTGACTTGAGTAGTATTGGACATCTTCTCTTTTTTAAATGTTATTATAGTAGAACTTTTTAAAATGAAGAATGCAATAACACAAATATAAGAGCAATTGAGAGAATTAATGCTTGAGATGCATCAATTCAATTTACTACCACAAGGAGTAATAAAAATAGCAAGAAGCAAAGATATAGAAATTATTGGAATAATTTGAATATTAGTATCAAATCATGTCTCTTTTTATGTGATGGAATATCATATTAATATTAAAAAATCAATGATTACACTATCTAAGAAGTTTAATGGCACAAGATCTAAGTTTTGAGGATTTATCAATCAAGTATAATTTGTGATTGAACTTCAATTCCAAAGCTATTCAACTTGAAGATTGCAAGTTAAATTCATTGGTACTCTTCTTTTAGATTCAATATTATTATGGTTTTTTTTCTTTTTTTGAATGACAAGATCCAATATTGGATAATTTGGAGGCTTTTTTAGTAGATTTTTGATCCATATATGGAAAATATGATGCAATTTGTGTTACAACCAATAAGATTCATATTTTACAACAAAAAAATCAATTAATAAAATTATATGCTTCACAGTTTTGATAACCTATAATTGATATTAAGTAGAATGATATTACACTTGTTAGCCAATTTTTTTACAAATTATAATATGAGGTAAAAAAATTTATGTTCAAATTACTTAATCTCCAAACATTGAATTAAACAATTAATTTTGCTGTAAAGTGTGACAATTGACTTTTTGAATTTTGATCTGAGATTGCATAAGTATGCCTCAATATTTTACTATAATTCAATAGCATTATCAATATCTTATTAATACATTCATTCAAAAGTATATGATATGCATATTGATATGGTACATTTTAAATCTCTTATGGAATAAGAAAAGACTTGTTATTATTAATAAAGATTATACTTGTATTGAAGAGAAGCTAAGCACACTGCTCAATATTTTTCAAAAAAATAATACAACTACAATATAAGAAATATAATTATGTATAATTTCATGTAAAAGTATATACTCCAAATTTTGTATAGAAATCATAGATGGTTGTCCATTACCTTTAAGAGATGTTACTTATGAAATCTTTTCTATAGAAGTAACAACTAATGGTTATAGTAGCTTTATAATATTTATTATTATTAAATCTCTCTTTAATCCAATTATTTTAGGTTTATCATGGCTAAAAAAATATAATTTTAAAATAGATTGGATTTCTTGTAGTCTTGATTTTTTTAAAAGTATAATTAAGAGTATAATTAATTAAATAAAAAGTCATAAGTCTAGTGTAACTAAACTCACATTTGTAGGTATAAGATCTTTTTTGCATGCTATAAAAATAGGTTTATTTTTTGTCATTTATGTATTATTTCTTTCTAATAGTAGAAAGTCTTTAAGTGGCATTTTAAGTCAATATCAAGATTTTTTAAGTTCTATTTGAAAAGAAAATAGGAAT